CTTTCAGTGCTTCTCTGAGGGAAAATGTGCCTGGTGGCGAGCTTAGAATAGGCAAACAGGGTCAAAGGGTCACCTGTCAGGAGGCAGGGGGTAGAGGTCCCAGGAATGCTGCCAAGCTGCTGCCCTGTTGGGATGTGGGCTGAGGAGGGCCTGAGGTGGGGGCAGAGTCAGACCCTCCATTTTCACTGCTGTCCCCTCCGCCTCCCCCACCCCAGAACTTGTTCCACTGAGCTGGGCAAGCCAATTGTAAAATGCACACAACTGGGTGATGTCTTCTGCCTTCACTGGGCTCATGCTTAGGAATCAGTGTTTGGAAAACTTGTATTTTGCATAATCTTTGGGCTGCCTCTAACTTCTCTGTGTTATTTTTAAAATACATCTAATGAAATATCTCACATTGATGCAGTCAACCTTTGGGAGACGGGTGTTATATTGGAAAGAGGGGTGAACCAGTCATCAGGCGACCCAGCTCCTCCATCCAGAACTGCTGGAGGGGTGGAAGGGAGCCACTTGACACGCCCAGACTTCAAGTTCCTTACTCTCAGGACGTGGCAGGTGAGATAGCAGCGTGAGCTGCACTTCCCTTTAACATTCAGGGCTGAAGGAGTCAGCTGTGCAGAGGGGCTTGGGTCCCGTAAGGAAGTAGATCGCCTGAAATCAGGGTTATTTTCTCTCTGGTGGGCTCTGCTTAGCCCTGGTCTCTCTGGGAGCCCTGGGCAGGGAGCGGCCAGAGTGTGCACCTGACCAGGTGTATGACAGTATCAGCCCCTTGCGGCTCCACCTCTAGTCCGCACAGTGATCACTCTCATTCTTCTTTCGTTGGCACCTGTGCCAAAACCTGGGTGCTGGTTGGGGTGCAGCCGTATTTACTGTGAAGTGCCTGCCCCGCCTTACCCTCTGGTGGGCAGGGGGACAGATACATCAGATCATCTTGAGACCACTGAGGCTGGAGTGCTGTGGTTCTTGTGCCCAGTCTGATCCAGTAAATGATGGCTGCCCATCCCACTGTCCTACCTGGACAACGACATCAAGCTTTGTGAAAGCCCTCAGCCCTTGTTGGGAGCAGAGGAAGAGGAGGCAGGACATACCCCTGACTCTGTCCAGCACACACCGACACACCCTGTGTCATGCCGTGTCCGTGGAAGACCCAGTAACCACGACACTCAGCCCTGTTGTGTGACACAGACTCTCTGTGCAGAGGAGGTCAGGAGACCTGTGGCCCAGGCCACTTAGAGATGCCATGATGAGCTGTACAGGATGGAGAAGAAAGTACCTGTAAACTAGGGGATTCTGGGTGCATTGTTAAGTTCAAAGTTGTACAAATGGCTTTTGGTTCATGTCAAAGACACAGATAGATGGTATAGGTGAGTAGATGAGGTAACAATTGAATTTTGGTTTGAAGGCTAAGCAAATTTTCAAATACTTTATCAACTTTTCATTTCAAAACTAATGTTTCTGTGGTTTCTCGTGAGCACCTG